TATATATATATATATATATATATATATAGGGTTTGTCTAGAGTTAACAACCCCTGAAAATACAAAAGTTCAAGTTAGAAGGGGGTGTGATGGGTGCATTTATCAAATCAATCATTACTTTTTTATTAAAAAATTATTTAAATAGGTAACTTTATCATTAAGCAAGGGAAAATTTGAAATTTTCATAAAAGTACAATGGCATTTTGGAAGTTAGTGTCCTGGAACTTTATTTGTAGAGTGCCCTTGTCCTGTAGTTAAAATTTCAATTTTACCCCTTATGAAGATGACAAAAATAGATAACAAAATTAATAAATCCACCCTTCACAACTCTCTCTATCTTGAACCTTTGTAATTTGAAGGGTTGTCAATGCTTCGCTGAATGTCACATTTCATCATACTTGGCAGAGGCAAATAGAGTTCATATGGCTTGGCTAAACAAGGGACTTTCACACATCTCTAGTGCTCAATCCACCCTCAAGTGTGAATGCCACCTGCAAATATTTTGCTCCTTATTGACTGTTTGGTGGTCATTCTGGATTGAATAGCCTCTTTTGATTCTGGGAATGATTCCCATATGTTGAAAACAGAATATAGTGTATTGCATTGTATACATGTAACAATTAAAAGTCTATTTAATACAGTTACCTTTATTCAGAAAAAGGATTGTGAGGTTTGGACAAAGTTCAGCCGAAGACAAAATATAAATTCTATTCCTTTCCCACAGACAACAAATTTATATTTGACTGCAGCCATCACAGGATCTACGCTTTGAGAGAGCGGGGAAAGGCATGTGAAAACTAAATGCTAAATTTCTGGGTGAGGAACCTGTTTGGCATTAGGAAACTATCAAATCCATATTTCGACAATCAGGTACTTTATTTGTTGCTGCCTCGAGGTACTTGTGTATTTCTTTTGACATGTTCATTGTTTTATTTAAACATGGGAGATCCAACCACCAATGTCGGAAATATAATTAAGGCTTGTATAAATGAAGAATGAAGTCTGAGCATCCAACATGCAACACACTTTAGATGAAGTTACAAAGATGGCTTATAGCGAAAAGAAGGGAAGTTGACAATGATAAATAGGGATGTTGAGATAAATAACTTGGAAAGTCAAAATACTCTAGGTCTACTTTCTAGATGTTAGGGACAACATAACCTAATATTGCCAGGAATCTTGCACAATATGTAATATTAACGAAATGGCGTACTCTTCTAAGCTTTACGGGTTTCAAAAAACTGACTAGGCATGCTTGCATACACTTCAATCAAAGAAGCCAAGGGAAAATCACTATTCAATTGTCAAATCACTACTCAAGAATAAATCTCAAAATGGTGATAATGTTCAGCCAAAAGAAACTAAAAGCAAAGTCGCTAACTGCAACTACTCTCACAAGTAAAACTTTGTGCACAGTTTGCAGATTCTAAATGAACATGTCCAGAACAGATTATGACTATCTATACACTGATCTTTCATACTAGCAATTACCAAATAAAATTAAGCTGCCTTCATGTACAATAAATATCAAGCACAACTATAATAATATAGTAACTGAAGCAATAAGGGAACTGCATAGGCATCTAATTCAAGTAGAACAAAATTATCCAACATAAAACATAGTTAACCCCATACCATGGCTTTGTATATCTGAAGACGTTTCAGAACAGCTTCCCAATACTCCACCACTTTGGCAGTCCCAGAAAGCATCTGTGATTCAATCTGAAAACGAAGCTCCTCCAACTCATTGAAACTTTTGCCATCTAAAAGGCTCTTCACATCTGATTCAATGCTTGAGTGCAGGCCCCTTTCTTCCGCAAGCACCTCAGCAGGTGGTGCTTCTCCACGCACTCTAGCACGATCAAGTGCATCCCTCTTTCGAGCCTCCGCTAGCTCCCAATCACAAACTACCATCATTGCCTGTATCAAAACAGCAGACATCTAGTTAAGAGTTTAAAAAGACCAAGTGAATCAAGTAATATCAATATGGCTTCAGTAATCAGTGGTATAACAACATCCTCGCACAGTGAGATAGGATGGAAAATAAATAGTAATATTTACTTATCCAGGGGTGTGAGAAATTTGATGAAAGGTGGCAGTCTATTACCTAATTTAAGAATAGCACAATACACTTCATTAAAAAAAACAAGAAAGAAAGGCAGAACAACATTGAAGAGCTGAGACAAATTTCGATACAGAAGAGAAGCATCCCTATAGAAAAACTATTTTTGAGATAGTGAGTTCACTCCCAAGTTAATTTGTTTAAATGAAACAACTACCAAGTACTTTCTTTTAGTATATCAGGCTTATTGATGCGCTTAGGGGCCTTTGGGAACCTGGAAATATAGCCTGATGAAATACATTACTGGCAAAATACATTATCTGATGCTTGAGTATTTGGCTTGATTGAGTCTCTCTCGTTTGATCAAATTTAAATATCTTCAACCTCAAATTGACTATCTACAAGCTAGGGCATTAGGGCTTTGAGAGACAGGGTTTCCTTGAGGGACTGGGAACTAGGTTTTTGTTTTGAGAGATGTGAGAGATTTCCGGGTTTTAGGAGAGGATGCTTAGGCTTTTGAAAAGGAAGGGAAAGTTGGCAAGGAGATGGAGAGAGAGAGGGAGAATGGGGGTTCATGGCTACAGAAACAGGGAGAGAGGAAAAACACGGGGGGAAGATATAGAGAGAGAGAGTAGAGAGAGCCATAGGGAGTTGTCTGTAGGCATCTTTCTATAAAGTAGGGTTTCTGAGATGGCCTGGGAGAGAGAAGAATGGATTTTGGGCAATTGGTGAGAGCTAGTGGGAGAGAGTAGAGCAAGAGACAAACTAGGGTTTCTTGGGAAGTTATTTGTTTTTAAACGGACCTCAAGCCCGTTTTAGCCCAATTTATTTTTCAAATACAGGAGGGAATATATTAACCATCCCTCCCCATAATCCATTTTTCACCTGTTTTAGAGAAAAATGGATTTCACAATTTTAAGGGCATTTCTAGGTAATGGATTTCTAATTCATGCCCATGTTCTGCATCCAAAGTGAGGGTAAAGTATATTTCATGACAATCCATTTCCCTGTAATACATCATTTGGTATCCAAATGGCCCCTTAGAGATCGTAACTCTTTGGAGCTTAAATCCAAGAAATATAAACATTGGTATTGTTGATACCAAGTACGGTAATCCATCCTCTAGGCATCTACTATAACGTATACATATCTAGAAGGATGGCCATCTCCAACTCTCCATAACTGAAGTCAGACCAAACGACTACATTTGGAAAGCAACAGTAAATTCTATAGAAACCTCCAATTATTCCATCTTTGATAATCTGACGACTAATATTATTCGTTTCCTTAGTTAATCCTCCCATGGACATCAGGGAAGCACATGTTCTTAAATGAATGCCCTAGTCTCAAATACAACTCTGCCTAGGTAAATTTAACCACCAACAGGCTGTACCATGAAACTGGTACATATTATGATACCAGAAAAGGAAGAGAGTGAGAAAATGGAAGAACCAAGAGCTCAAGATGGGCGAAGGAGTCATAAATCCATAAAGGTTAATATCTTGTAAACCAAAGTTGTAGTCCACAAAAAGCTAATCCAATCAAATAAGTGTCGGAAAATGAGGATGGTCAAACTACACACCCTTTAGTACGAGCAAATACCAGCACCTTCCAGATATCAGAATTACTAGTTTCAGCTGAAAGAATATATATACTGAATAGGTCTACCTCCAAATCAATCAGCAACGCTTAGTTTCCTTCGGAAAAATAAAATAAAATCTAACTCCAAATCAATCAGCACCCCCTAGTTTCCTTCAGAAAAATAAAATAAAATAAAACCAACAGCCACAATGAATGTCGATGTGAACTTGAGATTGCTGAAACTAGGAAATGAATGCAGCATTTTACAGAACCTCATGCATATATAAAAGCTAGTCATTGGTATTTGTTTTTTTGCTGCACAATTCCCCATGCACATACTAGTCCACAACCCAAATGATGCATGGCCATACCCTTGAGATGGAAAAGACAAAAATATATTAAAAGCAATTAAACACTCTCTATTAGAAAATAATAGAAAAATACGAAAATGGAATTTATAAAAGAAACCTTCAACAATTACCGCACAAAATCAACATGAAAAAATAAATTGCTATTCCCTTGTAACTACGAAATCAAACAGTAACTAAAATAATCTAACTATGGAGTTGATTTAGTATACAATAAATTATAATAATACACTATGTCCCAAGTTCATACCCTACTGTTGAACCACCCAAAAAAAAAGAACAATGAATTCCTTCATAAAGAAAGTAATCCTGAATTCCTTCATAAAGAAAGTAATCCAGAAACTTAGGAACACAATGTTTTTTATCTAAAGCTTCAAAAGTAAGAAGTTCACATTCAGTAAATCACTTGAAATCTCGTAGCAAGCATCTAGGCTTAATCTTATGAAGTTCTATTTATTTAAGAATATCTCGTCTAAAATTGGAAATATTGAGCTCTAATTACTACAACAAACTTAAGGGCTGAGATATCTTTGTACAATGGACAAATGCATAATTTAAGATAACTAAAAGGTGGTAAGATTATATTTTCAGTCTTCAGTATGCTAGGCGATCTTGGGCTAAATCACCAGGCTATGGAGGACCTTAAAACTTGTGCACTCATGAAGTAGAGGACAGCATAGACATTAAAACCACAAGAATGTAACTTTTTTTTTAATCAATAAGAAAATTATAAATTGCTTAACTAGAAAAGTTAAATCCAGATGGAATGTGAAAGAGATGGTATTTGAATGGCCCAGAGATCACATATTGACTGAAACAACTACAAGAAAATACTTAGATATCACATTTCTACATCATCCATGAATAGTAGGGGATCAATTACCCAATGCCTGCCATAACTTTATGGACTCTAAGATACCTAATTTGAACTTTTATTCAGTGTTTTCATCATAAGGAAAGGACACAGGCCTTTTTACAATTTTAACAATAAATTGTGACGTTAACATGCAAAATCCAGAGAAGTTCACAATTTTACACTGTTCTTGATATTTCATTTACATTGTTATAATGCACATGATGTGCATGGCAACCCTAACCATACAGAACTTTCATATTTACCAGTCCAGATCAAAATATAGTAATCCACAACATATATCTATATCTATATACATACAAGCACATATATATATATATATATATATAGGAAAAGTCTTCCCAACGCCTATAGGCGAAAATGAGCAGTGATTTCTCCTACCCTCATCACCGTCCATAGTTCATCGCACGGTCATGATTGTCCGATAGTATTTTATTTTTCATTTTTTTTCTACAAATCGGAATGACCTGAAATATAAAAATATAAAAAAAAATAATTCGCAAAAAAAATATTACCAAAATACCCTTGAAATGTTTCGAGGGTATTTTGGTCAATGTTTTTCATGTAAAATATTTTTTTGATATTTTTTGTAGATTCACCTATTTTTGATGAACACACCCTCCAAATTTCAGGTCATTTTGATTTGTAGAAGAAAAATAAAAAATGAAACACTACCGAACAATTGTGACCGTGCGATGAACTTTAAACGGTGATGAGGGTAGGCGAAATCACTGTTCATTTTCACCTATAGGCGTTTTGTAGTATATATATATATATATATATATATATATATATATATATA